GATCAGTATCATTAAGCCTCACTTATTCTCTGCCTATCAGTCATTTTGACACAATATATATATATTTTTGAAAAATTAATGATTTTTATAAAACATAGATAAAACCTAAATCATATTAAAGTTATCTAAAAAATAAAACAAATAATAAGTGAAATCACTTACCATTTTCACAAAATATTATTTGAATTTCTAAATCGACTTTAAAATACAAGACTTTTTTCTTGAGATACCACACAATAGTGTAAGGATTGTATTGTCTGGGTATCGGTGCACTCGATATAATACTAAACAAGTGATTGACTATAAGAAAGGAGATAAAAAGATTATACTTTTTTATACACTAATTATCTCTCAATTGAAAAGGAGTTAAACCACAAAATTCTGTCAACTAATTGCAAACAAATAAAAAAGTTTTTGTCATTTTATCAGTCAATTAGTGATTGCGGGGTAAATGTTATGGTAATGTTCCTGTCGATGGCACACACCGTGCAATACACATACAAGTGTGTAGACAACACACAATGGGAGGGTAGTTGGGGCAGGTATGGTGTTCTGGTCAATAGTATAAGTGCTCTGCAGGCGGGTATAGGGAGATATAACAAGCCGTTTGACAGGCAAACCAGACACAAGTGTTTTTCCAGTGCACCGGCAGTTGGTTCACCTCAAGCGCCGGTTTAATACACTTCAACGCCAAATACAATTGACTGATAATCCCGTAGTAGTATCGACACAACCAAATGAAAACACAAAAAAGGTTTCGTTTGTATTGTATATAAATATTAAATGACTTTTCGTTTGGTCCGAAAAGTTTTATGCGGCGTATAGTGTGCACTGAGTTTACTGTAGTTTTGATGTGTTTTGCAATAAATTTTTTATTATACGATACGACTCGATACACATCAATAGTAGTCATGACAATCGACTGTCTAATGATTATCTTAAGGCATAGGTAGTGCCTTATGTCATACCTGTGCACTTTTTCTATTGAATTGCAATTTAACGATCAAGAATTCTGGTTAAACTAGTATTCATTTTATTCAATTATATTTTATCATCAATTCACAAGTTTTCAAATTGTTGGTAAATTTAAGAAAATATTGTACTTTGATTAATTGATTATTGTATAATTATTATGAATGCTTATATAATAAATGTGTTTAATTAATGTAAACTTATTTATTTAGCAATAGTTTATATACCGGTATTAAAATAACTGATATCGATCTATAATTCTGATAACAATTTAACTCAAATCCTTCAAAATTCTTACATAAAATAATTAACAAGCTTAAAAACATTTTGTGGGTAATTTTATATTTTCTTAAGTAGTATTTTGTACTCGGGTGGACTAAATTGGTCAACAATATTAGGATCCGGGTCTATACCACCATTACTATCGAGGACTATATCGTATTCTTGAGTCGACTGCAAAAATGCGACCAAAACAAGGAATAAGTCGGCGATCGCTAACTTCTCGCCCAAACACTGACGCCTACCCACACTGAATGGTATGTACGCTTTTGGACGGGTAGTCATATACTGCCCCTCACTGTCCAGAAAACGTTCAGGGACAAATTCGCCACCATTGTCTGTCCAATGCTTTTCATCCCTTAATATTAAACTCTGATACAAGAGAATGGCTGTATTCTCAGGTATGGTATAATTTCCTGTATATTAATGAAATATTAACATTACTGTAATTAGTTTTAATTATCTGTAATAATGAGTGTTTATTATACCGATAGTACTCTGGACAACAGCCTTATGTGGGACACCAAAAGGGGTTACATTTCTTATCCTCAGTGTCTCAGCGATGAAAGCCATGACATAATGGCATCGATTCCTGTCCTCATGTGTTGGCATTCGGTCTCCGATTTGTGTCTCAATCTCTTGTCTCAACTTTCGTTGCATTTCCGGGTAATATGTCATCAGAAGTAAAATCCATTGAAATGTCTGTTGGGATGTATCGGTTCCGGCAAAAAACAGGTCGAACACAGCCATCGCCAGGTTATCATCGGTGAGATAAGGGGCCGACTCTTTACCCTCTCTGAGGGCCTCATTCTTAGCGGTTATGAGTGCATCACAAAAGTCTCTTTCAATAGCATCCGAGTAGTCGTCATAATGTGGTTTAAACTTATTTCTAATCATTTCCACCAATTCTCTCATAAGTCTTCTCTGTTTTTGAGACATCTTTCGGTCAATAAATCTGAAAAGTGGTGAGAATTCCCACAACAAGAATCTACTGCCGGCCTCTTTGCCGAAGTCCTTCAACGCATACTTTATTTGTTTAAATTCCTTGTCCTCCATATCATAGCTATAATTAAATGCATTTTCATTCAATTATTTATTATTAATAACACATAATACTGTGTAAACAGTAAAGGGTGTAAACAGACATACCTCTGACCGAAAGCACTTATAGATAGTATGTTGAGAAACATTAAGTATATGTAATCCCGGGGCACAAACGCTTTACCCTCTCCTTCCTTCTCTAATATTGTTTTTACTGTTTGTTTGACACAATCATTGGCCAAATACGCGAGTTTGTCATTTGTTGAGTATTTTCTACAATTAAAATAAAATAATTATAATTTGCAAATAAAAGTAATAAATTAGTGGACAGACTGTGCGGCCGAGTGTGCGACACGTCTGAGGGCTTCCCACGTGTGGCCATAACTGGTGAACACCACGTCCTGGAACTCGTCGTTTGATAGTTGACTGCCTTTTCATATGACAGCAAAACCTACGTTCAGTGAATTTGCAAACTAAGCATAATTTGTGAGCAATTTTATACCGAAATAGGATTCACTCCTTCCGGCGAAATCATTCCGACGGAAAGCCTCGCGCGCTGTGTCTATGTCTGTGACCACTATATGCGGGGTATTTGCGAACCAGAAGGTCAATACCGGACCGTATTTTTTACCCAACTCTCTGAACACAACGTCCCAGTGATGTGGAGATTTGAATACTAGTGAATAAATAAATAATCATGTTCAATTATTAACTTTAATAACTTGATGATTGCAATAAATGCACATCAAACTTAAATACTTTGTTTATTAACAAGTATTCAAATATAATTGAATGCAAACTTACATAAAATATTGCCAATTAACGGCAATGGAAATGGCCCTGGTGGTAGGGTGTAGACAGTATAATAAAATTTTGACAGCTTATACACAATAAAAGCGATTAAAAGTGTTATAATAGCAGTGAATATATCTGTGGTTAACAACGAGAATATTTGTGATATTATAGACATATTGAGTAAAATATTTTACATAAGAATATATTTTTATAATAAATTCTAAAACTTTATAATTAAAACATTTAACACAATAATTAACATTAAATAACAAAAATGTAAACACTTTTCCAAAAATAATTGTTTTGTTTATGTATTCAATACTAAAACAGGATTTAGAGACGGATTTTGCGCTCAAAGGACTCATTCATTGACTGATATTTTCTAAACACAATTCTCTATGACATTGAAAACATTGGTTATCTCTTAATAGATGAAGTCCTTGAAACATATCAGCCCTGTCTGTCTCTACCACTGAATTCATATTAGTCTATGTATGGCACAGATTATAGTAAAATCCTTTAATGATAGCAAAACCCATTCATAAGATTATTACAATAATAATAATAATTCTGTTTATAAACTTTAATTTGCATAAATTATTTTACAAAACTAATAAAAATTTTATTTATGTTTAATTTATGTACAGTATAGTTTAGTAGAAAATATTTACATAATGTAGAAGTTTAAACTAGATATTTTAATTTTTTCAAAAGTAATATAAAATTTATGAGTTTCAAAGTCTAGTCAATTCTGTGATTTTAGAAAATGTTATTTTATATTCTGATGGACTTAAAGAATCTGCGATATTAGGGTCGGCATCAATACCGGTGCTGCTCTCCGCTATCATATCATAGTCTTGAGTCGACTGCAGAAATGTGACCAAAACTAGGAAGAGGTCAGCGATGGCTAACTTCTCGCCCAAACAAACACGTCGTCCCACA